CTCGCCTGGTATGCGTGCGGCCCGGGTTCGATCCTCAGCACCACATAACAAACGAAGATGTTGTGTCTGCCAAAAAATAAATAATAAATAGTTCTCTCTCTCTCTTAAAAAAAAAAAAAAAGAACTCTTGACTCCTCATAACTGGTGGTATCTTATGTTTCATGGCAAATTTACACTAGATAATTCCATTGCTTACATGACATATGTCTTAAAAATCTAAAATAATAATAGCTAATCCAGATATATGTTTATTTCTCTTTCACACAAAAGAAATTCAGAAAATGTAGTCTGGACGTTGGCAGGCCCAAAGCATGATGGGTCCAGAAACTCATCAGGCCCCCAGATCTCGGACTTGTGGTCTCCATCCTTAAGGTCAGCTCAGGCCCAATACAGTTGGTGGAGAGCCAGATCTTATAGCCACATTCCAGGAGGAAGGGCATCTCTCCGCTTAAGTAGAATTTCTTTTTCTAAAAATATTTTTTAGTTGTAAATGGATCTTTTTTAAAATTTATTTTTATTTATTATATACAGTGCTGAGGATCAAACCCAGGGCCTCACACCAGGCAAGCGCTCTACCACTGAGCCACAACTCCATCCCTCTTAAGTAGAATTTCTGGAAGTGTCACACCTAAATGCAAAAAGAGAGTGAAGTTGTACCAACAGATGCACAGTGAGTCCAAGAGGAGGGGAGAGAGGAAAGGTCAGAAGGAGTGAAGAAACAGTGCTCTAAACTTCTAAAATGTGAAGGAAAACAATGATCTACATATCTAAGAATCTCAACACCTCGACATTGTATCCTTCAGTGGGATAAACTCAGAAATTCACACCTAGATATATCATAACCAAACTGCTGAAAGCCAAAACAAAGAATCTGAAAACAACGAGAATGGCTATAAGAGAGGCTATCGGTGGGAGCTCAATAAGGTTGCCAGTGTGTTTCTTATCAAAAACCATGCAGGCCAGAGGCACGGCGAGACGCATCCACACTGTTCATGGTAGAAGACTGCCTTTCCAGAACTCCACAGTGCCTCGTGGCCTTAGCTCTCGACACCCCAATTCACCTCTGGCCCATCCCTGCCACTCATCCACAAATGGGTGACCAGATCATGTGTTGACTTTCTCTCCATACTCCCTGCATCACATGGCTCCTGGCTTAAATCTCCCCTTTTTGTGATGCTACCATAGCCTTAGATGGAGCTGAAGCTTCATCTGAATGTACAAGCTGACCCTCTGTTCATGTGGTCAGCAACTTATGGCCTCTTCCTGTGGGTGGTTGGTCTCCTGCCAGAGCCCTTCTGCTACCTGCTTCCCCCCACATCTACATCCCCAAGTTCCCTTCAAAGTTTGCTCATTTGACTCCAGAGCCTGGAACTTCATGCTTTTCCCAGTAGAATGAGGTCAGTCAACCCCATGAAGCAGTGGACAATCATGACAGATAAGAGACCAGGGAGCCAGAAGCAGTCTCAGGGCCAACCCAGCCTCTGGAAGTCCTGCTGTGTCAGATGACTGAGGAGGACACCTACACCTCAAGTCCCACTTTCAGCACCCTGTCCCTGAGATCTGAGGACCTGGGAGAGGGCTCGAGGATTCCAGGGTCCATGGTATCTGAGTTAGACACCATCCTCTTTGGGGGGAGAAAGCCAGGTAGGGAGTCAGGACCTGGCTCAGGGTGGGGCCCTGCTGGCCGCGTGCTCACTGTCTGATACTGTGAATGTGCAGGCTTTGTCTGCCACGAGGCTTAGGCAGACAAAGGTCCCTTTTGGTCCTAACAATCTACTGCTCATTTATTTCATTGCTTGGATCTCACCTAAAGCAATATTAAAGCAGGATAAGCATGTCACACTGGAAATAATATAATTTTGATGAACTAACATTGATGCCATCATATCTGATGTGACTTCAAAGTCTGAACTTGATCCCAGCATGTCAGGAGGACTTGAGCTATTTGGATCCAGCATTTCCATCTGGGATTAGCAGCCTGTCTGCTGCATGTCTCTCCCTACCTTTCCTATAGTTGAGACAGGCTTTCATGGCTCCTGAAAAACTTTCTTCTTCCTTCAGAGAGCTTTTAGTTTCTATGGGGAACTGGGATTTTTTTTTTTTTTTAAGCAGAGGGGGGCTGAGCTGAGATTTAAATAACTGAAAGAAATCACAAGATGCCATGATGGTCTAGCGAGCAATAAGGACAATACACCCCAGGAGGGTGGGAGCAGAGGGGGCACTTGACATAGCTGGTCAATAGGTGTTTTGCAGGAAGGACAGACCAGCAGGCCTGGAGCACAAAGCCTGGTCCCACCTGGACCCACCCCTGGCTGCTCCATGTGCCTCCCAGAGGTAGGAAACAGGTTTAGGGGGTTATGGGCCCAAGAGGCATCCGCTGGAATGCAGATGCTAGTTTCACCTGTTGCTCCTTGCGCGTGTTGTGCACGGGACAGGGAGCTGAAAGTGGAGTCATACTCAGGTCTAGGCATCAGAGTAGGGATGAGCTGCAGTTGGGTGGCCATGGGGTCTTCACATTGGCCTTCCTGTTCCAACCGCACACATTCCATGTTGACAATTGCTAGGCACCTGGGTGTACAGCCCTGAAATCCTATTCTAACCAAGAGATGAAAGACATAAGCAAATGGCATGCTGAACCTAGCCTTCTCCTGTCTTTGACCTCACCCTGGCTGCCCACTGGTGTCTGAGCCCACAGACTGTACTACTTGCTGCCCTTCCAGAAGCAGCTGTCACTGCATCGCCCCCTGCACATGTGTGCACTCACAGTGCTCACTGCCTGCTTTCTCACCTAGTATTGCCATCCATGTTGCAGAGGGTGGAGTTCCCAAAGATCAGGGATTCTTCCTTTGGACTGGCACAGGTGGTGATTTGGTTCTTTTTCCTTTTCTTCCTTTTTTTTTTTTTGGCAGGGGATGGCCAGACCTGGGAATTAAACATTGAATCCGGTGACTCACTTACTATTGCAGTATTATTGCTGCATAGAATAAAGTGGTCTTCACGCATTGCGCGAAGACCCCACCAGATATACTACGCTCCGTGTTCCAAAGGGGAAGTGCAGGATGAGTGAGCCTGTAGGGGATGAAGTCCAGAGAGTCCCAAGGGCAAGGGTGAACAGGGAAGGCCAGCATGCTGAGTTCAGGGAGGCATGAACCACTAGGTGCTTGTACCCAGCAACTACCTGCTCACTGCCATGAGACCTCACTGTGGCAGCAACCACTAGTTCAAATATCTCCAACTCCTTGGATACTGTCAAGAGTAGACTGCCTTAAAGAAAAAAACAAAACAAAACAAAACGTTTTTCCCAAATATGTAAATGTGTTAAATGAGTCAAATGCCCCAAATATGTGGTATGTGGGCATCTCTTTTCTGCTCATCATGTCCCTGAGCCACTTCTCCAACACCCCAGTGGCACCACAAGTCTAGCCTTTTTCTTTCCTCTATGAGTGCTTTCCTCTCCATCCTTTGGTGACAGTCCAGGGGTCACCAAACATATTAATCTTTACCAGGGCACCCAAGTACTGTAGCAAAAGACTCACTGGATGTGAGTCCATCTGAACCTGCCTGAACCACCTCTGAGTTCCTGTGGTTACTCTGTAGGTGTCTACTCTTGCTCTGTGGGCTCACACTATTACTTTGCTCCAGCTATTTCTTTGCAGGCTATTGTGCTTTGTGGGTTCTGTTGTTAAATCGTGGCTTTCTTGTACTTCTGGTGTTATTTTATAAACTATTGTTATTTTGTGAGTTTCTGAAATTATTTTGGCTCCTCAACACAGCCAACAGATTTCCTTCATAAGGAATTGTGTGGATGCTAGCAAATTAGATTAACATATATACAGATGGTCCCCAACTTACAAGATGGCACTTAGATGACATTTGACTTTAGTATGATGTGAAAGTACAGCCATGCTTCTGTTCCTCACTTCCAGTACACTATTTGATAAGTCACATGAGATATTTAACACTTTTAAAGTAAGATTTGTGAGAGATGACTGTGCCTGACTGTAAGCTGTTGTAAATGTTCTGAGCACGTTTAAGGTGGGCTGGGCTAAGGCACGACATTTGGCGGGTTGAGTGTATTAAATGCATTTCTGAGTCACAATATTCTAAACTTATATGGGTTTATGGGGATAAAACGCCACGCAAGCTAAGGACTACCTGTGTTTTTTGGCCCCATTGTGGTAGCAGAATCTTGGCTTGCCAATATCTAATCAACTCGACAAGCAGTTAACCTTGATCCAATAGTCCCAACTACAGAGGTTTACTTGCAAATACACTTCCACTACAAACAAGAAAAAATACAGTCGATGGGCACTGTGTGAAGGAAAGGAAGAAGGGGAAGGGCGGTGTAAGCAATACTGCCCACTTCGCCCATGATCGGTTTTACATTACTTTTAAAGTAGCCAAAAATCAGTATTAGATACTGATCAGAAATGACTTACAGAATCATTTTCAAATATGAATACTTACCTTCCTGCAATGCGTTCCACATACAAAAACTCATTCTGAAAGGGAAGACACTAAAATTGAACGTGCATATTTGCTTACTACACACGAGACACTTTTCAGGTGTTTTGCACGGCGCTTGCACACGCACAAAGCAATCCCCGAGCAGCAGGCCTTCTCTCCCCGCCCTGCGGGCTCCGCAAGGCCAGTCCGGCCGCCGGGAGGGCCGCGCTCACACGCCCACGTACGCCCACGTACGCCCGGCGACGCGCTGAAGCTCGGCAGTTCCCTGGCTGCTGGCTGCCGGCCAGCCCCCGTGCTCAATTCAGCGGCCGAGCCCGTGTCCCCGCCCCGCCAATCCCGGCGGCGCGGACCCGCCCACGCCTCTAGGGCCGGGTCAAAGGGCACCTTTCCTGGAGCCCCCGCCGGAGCGGGCGAGGCGGCGCTCACTGCGCACGCGCGCCGCTGGCCACAAGCTCCTAGCAACACCGACCGGAGCCGCGACGGCCAATCAGCGCGGCCGGGGGCGGGGCTTCCCGTAGAGGCGGTGACGGCGGGCGACTTCCGGCAATATTCTCGGGTGCGACGCAGTCGGTGCGCACTGAGGCTGTCGCGTCGGGTGAGGCCAGGCAAGTGGGGAGAGGACCACAGGTGGGCTAGGGGCCGGGGTCTGCCAGCGGGGAGGGGGTGGCCAGGTATGGAGAAGTCGTGGGCCCGCCAGTGGGGAGGGGATCGCCGGGTAGGCAGGGGCCATGGGCCCGCCAGTCGGCAGAGGACCGCTAGGAGGGAGAGGACCGCCAGGTGGGACTGAGCCTGGGGCCCGCAGTGGGGAGGGGACCGCCAGGTGGGACCGGAACCTTGGGGATCGCCAGGTGGGACCGGAGCTGTGGGGCCCATCAGTGGGGAGGGCATCGCCAGGTGGGGAGAAGTCGTGGGGTCCGCCAGTGACAAGGGGACCTTCAGGTGGGGGGGGATCGCCAGGTGGGACCAGGCCCTTGGCCGCCGGTAGGGCGGTGCACTGCTGGGCCTGCCCTCGGTTGACCTGCCATAGGTGCTCACCTAGTCCCCACCTAGCTCCAAGGCGTCCTCTGCCGGTCCTTGCTTTGTCTGCCTCCCCCTGGACCCAGAGAGAGCTGCTCTGCAAACCTAAGCCTCTCCCTGATCTCTTGAGTTCCTGTGCACCTTCTCTGTGACATATGCCTGGGAATGACCCCGTTCTCCTTCACGCCACTGTGTACCTACCTACTTTTTTTCTTGCAGGTGGTACTTGAGAATTGTGTATCCTTCCCTTCACAGCTCATTTTGGCCTTTCTTCACTTGGATTCCATCTCTATCCCAGGGCCTATTCAGACTCACCTTGAACTAGGAGTCTGAAGAACTGTCTTCAATGAAGTTCTCTCTTTTTGCCTGTTCCCAGTTCTTTTACTATCTAATCAGAAAAGACCTGATTTCTCTTTCATACCGCTTTTCCCCTCCTTGCATTGTTTTCCTTTTCCGTGAAGCATCAGTAATTATCTTTCAGACCTTGTTGGAGTGAATCCCACTTTTGACTCTCAGCCTCTAATTTGCAATGTTTTGATGTACTCTCCGAATCAAATTTGTTCACACTTACAAACCAACGTTTGTCCCAAAATTGTTTGATCTTATTTGGAAACATCATAAGAAAACGCAATGAAGAAAAATAGAATGCTTATCAAATTGAAGACCAGTTATTCCTTCTTATTTCAGAACAATGAAAAATAAGAAGGGGGAAAGTAAGTTCCTATACTAACTTCTTTTTCTGAATTTGAATAGCAACTGCCTTGCTATTTTGTTTATTGTGTATACTATTATAGCTCTTGCTTAACAGTTCTTATTGTTTTTAAAGCCCCACTTAATAGTTGCATTAAGTACTATTTTCATCTAGCTTAAATAAGGAAACACATGTGGCTTGTTAAAATGTATTAGGGTTTTGTTTTCCTTGTCTTAGTACTGTTACATTTAAATGAATCATTACTTTAGATCATGTTGGTGACGCGTCACATAAGTTAAAAAAAAAATTCTTGTAAATATATGGCATCTTTTACTAAGGTTTTCAGGAACTGCTTTTATAAACATAGTGGCTGAGAGCATGCATTCTAGAGCTAGAGCCCCTAATTTTGAATCCTGTTCCCCCAAACTCTTTGCCTTGGTGTTCTCATATACAGAAGAGAACTAAACCTGTAGAGTGAGAATGACATTTCCTATCTTGTTGGGTAGTATGACAACTAAATGAGCTAATGCCTGTAAATTGTTTAGATTGATGTCTACCCCATACTAATCTCTGGTAAATGTTATCATCACTAGTCTTACCAGTTAGGAAAACCTATGCTTATAGAAGAAAAGACATTTCTTGGTTCAGATTCTTTCATGCCAGGAATTTCCACTGAGAAATGTATTTCATAAAGTCCTGTTCTGCAGTACTCCACTCTCATGTCCTGCCATATTAAACAGGAGGTTTAAAATAGTTCAGCCCCATATGCTCTCTGACATAGTTAGCATAAGATGTGCTTAAAGATTGCATGTTATACAAGCTTTGTAGACTTGTATACAACTGAGTAGACTCTGAATAGTCACTCTTTTATTTTGTATTAATTTTCAGAAATAATTTCCAGTTTTAATTTTTGTATTTGCAAATTCTCAAAGGTAATTTTAATTAAAATAAACTTGTGAAGCTCTAGCAATTCACATTTTTTAGCTGTACAGATAAATTCCTGAACAAAGTTGTAGGGTATCATTCTAAAAATTAAGTAGCTTGTTTTCTGATTTGTAAAATCAGTTGCTCAGATTGGGAGTATTTTTGAAAACTTGAGATGTGGGCCTCTTAAATTGCAGCTTCTCTTTTTTGCATTTCCCAGTGACTTACTTATTTGTTACTTTTAAAAAAAAAAAAAAAATCTGTTTAGTCCTTAAACTATATAAATTTAAAATAAAGCTCAGGATAATCCAGAGATTTTACCATTACAAATTTATGAAATACACACACCTGCTGAAGAGTTAATTTTTTTCTCTGTTGAAAAATCTGGGGCATGGGCTTGTTTATTTCCCATGGTCCATTAGCTTCATTGCACTACTGGCCAATCCAAAACAGGAAGGAAGGAAAGAATCACTTAACTGCTGAAAAATTCACTCCAAATCATATTAATTTCTTCCCAAGTTGTTATAATCAAAATTGTAATATGGGTAGAGGTGTTTTTAAAAAGGTTATTTTATTGGACACACCACACTGGCTGTTTGTGTGTTTTGCTAGAGTTAGCACCCAGGGCCTCACACGTGCCAGTCAATGCTCTAACACTGTGCCACATCCCCAGCCAACACTGGCTGTTTACATAAATGTTATAGTCATTTTTTGAAGCCAGAAAATAAGTGTGCTCATTGGGGAACAGGCATAGCCTACACAGGTTAACTTTAAGGAAATTTGTTAGCTGAGGACACAGGTCTGCACAGGACACTGATAAGAGTCTGATGCCTGTGGAGCTCTTTTGCCTGTCTGCTTTCTCCATTTAGATCTATACTATCTATCTTTTACCTGTCTTCCTTCTCCATATAGATCTATCCTTAGATCTATTTAGATCTAAGCCCTAGGGGGGTATCATTCTTTTAACAACACTGTTCACCTTGACACATTGCTCAAAAACATAGTTACCCAGAGTCTTTTGACCCTCTGAATTTGTCTCAGTTGTGTCACATGTATCCTGATCTTAAGTTTCCCCTCACCATCCCTGTGACTGATACTTCTTTCCTTGCCTCTCCATTCATGTGAAATTGACCAGGCTTGAAGGCTGAGCCCATGTCCTCCCTGGAACCTTCCTGGCTGACCTTCCTTCCGTAGTCACTACTATTTTACATGGTTAAATTTCTTTTAGTTGTTCCCTCTGTACCATTTCTTTGTTTTCCATGTTATAAGATCTCCTGGATATACAGGTAAACACATGCTTGATGTTACATATGTATGCTTTGGGTTTTTGTTGTTGTTGTTGTTTTGTGTGAATATAGTTTTTGTTTTTGTTTTTTTAGTTCCTCAGTTGCATGGTACACCTTAAGGGCATGGACACCCATTACTATAATATTTAGTGAGTGACAAGTGTTTGTCATGAAGTGACCCTTTTTATGGTTATTTCAGGGTCACCACTGGATTTTCTTTTGAATCCATGGTTCCATTGTGATATTGAGAGGTACTTTGGGAGTTTTCAGAGATGGTCAAACAGCTTTGTTTTTGTAGTGTACATTTGATGATACTGAAGTTGTCATGTAAAGTAGACATTGCTTCTTCAGGGCCCTTCCATCTCTTGGGGGGTGTCCTCTGGCCCATATCTCAATATAGATATATTGTGGATCATAAGATAACTCTGGATTGATTGGACATGAATGGTGGCCTTCACATTTGGAATGATCCATAGCTATGAAGCAGATCTGTAAGACAAGGCTTACCACAGTGGTGCTGAGATTTAAAGAATGTTTTAAAATGATCTTCTAAAGCAAGAATTCAATCAATATATGCCTGAAAAGGGTGTGTCCAGGCTATAAATTATCTTAGCAAGGTTTCATGATCCTCTCGTAAGGAAGAATTATTTCAATGCATATTTTATACCAGTACAGGAATTGGGTGCTTGGAGTTGACCCAGGGATAATGGTGATGTTTATGTAATTTCCTTACTAATTCTTTTGTGTCTTCTAAGTTAGCATAAATGCCCATTTGATAGCCTGGATTGTTAGTTACACTACATGTAGTTTGGACTCAGTCTTTCAAGAACTCTCTCTGATATAATATGCTATGTCGTGAAATGCTCCAAGCCTACTTTGATTTTTGGTTGTGTGTGTGTGTGTGTATGTGTGTGTGTGTATGTGTATGTGTTTTCCAGTGTTGGGGAATCAAACACAGGGCCTCATGAGTACTAGTCAAATGCTGCACCCCAGCCCTTGCCAATCTACTTTGGATACAAGATTCATAGATGCTGCTCAGCTGAAATGAATTTTGTGTAAGTCTTTGGCTTCCTGGTGTAGCTAAACTAAAATATGTCTGCTTTTGAACATCTACTGTGTTGGCTTCTTTACAGTGTTTTTCCTCTCCGTCAAACATGTCTTTCTTAAAATGCATGCTTCTCTTAGCTTTCCGCCTTTCCCAATCCCCCGACTCTTCCTTGAGTTTCTCTCTTGACTCATCTCAAGCCACTGTCCCTCACCTGTTGGTGTTTCTTGAGTTCTCTCCTTGGTGGTCTTGATTTCTACACTGCCTACTCTACGATGTTATTTCCATGACTTCAATTGCTCTGAATGCTGGTAATTTCCCTATATTTCTCTCTAACCTAACTTTTTTTTTCTGATCTATTAATTAATTAATTCAGTAAATAGATATTTGAACTCTTGCCATGTGCCTGGCATTGTTCAGGGTAATTGGGATACAGAACTGAAAAAGACCTCATTCGCTTTTAGGAAAATAAATACATGAATAATTTTAGACAGCCCTTGTTGGGATGTAGACACCAGGCAATGCTGAGACCTGTGAGGTGGGGAGAAGTTTTCCCGAGTGGTCGGGGAAGCCTTTGTGGGGAGGTAACATTTCAAATCCCCAGTTCCTAGCCCTGTCTGTGCAGAGAATCACCCCTGTACCTTTAAAAGCTACTCACTCCTAGCCTTCCCCCCTAGGTACTCATACTTAATTGGTCTGAGAGGGACCAAGCACTTCACAAACTGATGTTAATGCATAGCAGTATTTGAAAACCACTGATTACCAGAAAGAGAATTCCAGTCAGTGACATAGCCGGTATTCCAGATCTCACTCTCATCAAATTGTAAGCTTCTTAGAAGTAGTAATATCTGTTGTTCCACTTTTTAAGTTATAATTTTTATTTCTAGATTCTAGTTAACAGCATGTCTGAAACTGAGGTCAGTGTCTTAGCTCCATCCTCCCCTCCCCAGCCTGCTGTCTCTCGTGACCTCATTCAGCAGTCAGAATCTGGACGTCATCTTTGGCTCTTTCCCCACGTGGCCACCCATCCTCGGGTGCTGCTGACTCTGCCCCCTCAGTGTTGCTGTAGTCTCTTTCTTTCCTTCCTCTGAAGGCCAGCACTCAGAGGTCTCCTCTCCACCTCCCACTGCTGTCATAGCACACACCGGAGCCCTCTTCAGCTCAGGATCCATCGAATTACTTGAACCACGTATGTGTCAGTCCCTGTCTTGTTCCTCCTTGCTCTCAGAGTGAAGCCCTGCTCCTTGGCCTCATCTGGCCATCCCGACCCCTTGTTCTCACTCTGGCAACTCCCCACTCCCACCTTCTATGCCAAGCTCACCCAAACTGATCCACCTGGAGGAGATGGACGTGAGGACTTTCGGGCTGTGTTGCCTCTGATTGCAGTGAGTGCATGGTTTGAAATGACATCCTTGACTCTTGCTGCTGCTTCGGGTGTAAGCCTCTGTTACCTCAGAGCTGGAAAACCCACCTGTTATGCTCCACCGTTATCATTGTAGAGCCCCCAAGGTGCTGTGCTGTCCTCGTTGTCTCATCCCCGATGACCTGCCAACATTTAGGTGATAAGTATTTTGTTCTTTAAAATCAGTGAACAAATTTTCTAAATGAAACTTTAATTACTTATTCATATATATTTATACTTTTAATGCAAATTGATTTTTTGTTTTACAGGAGAACTATGCCATTTCTGGGTCAGGACTGGAGATCCCCTGGGTGGAGTTGGATTAAAACTGAAGATGGCTGGAAGAGATGCGAGTCCTGCAATCCGGAGCTGGGAAGAGAAAGCAGCCAGTGTAGTCTCAGCCATGACGTGTGAGTCACGGCCGGCAGAGTCAGGCTGCTGCCTCTTTACCTTTATGGCTGTACCCGCTTTTCAGGTCACCACAGAGCTCTGTAACTTGTCATCTTGCTGAGACTTGTCCACTCTTGGAGGCTGATGTGAGGAAATGACTTATTTAGCTAAAGAATGAGCTTGGCAGTTAGCCTGATTTCCACACATGGATGCTCCTTTTTCTTACTATTTATAACATTTAATCCTCATGATAGTCTGAGAGAAAGAAATCATTTTAACCTTACAGTATAGCTGAGGATCTGAGGAAAGTAAAGGCACAGGTTGCAGCCAGTGTTGAGGATGTGGCAATAGTGGCTTGCACAAGAAAGAAGTCTTTTTTCTGTCTGGCAACTTGAGTTGATGCAGTGACTTTGCTCATGACATCACCAGGGGCTGAGTGGCATTCTCTCTTTTGCTTTCCTATCCTGGAGTTCAGGCCCATCTGCAGGGATCCAGAGGGTGTGTTACCCACTGTGTCTGACCTGCTCAGTGCCAGGGGCAGTACTGCCTGCTACATCTGCTTCCAGCTGGTGGTGGATGGGACACACTCCTGCACATTATGGCATACATAGCCCTTGATTACCTGGATCGCCGCTGCCTGCACCTCACTGACTAGAGCATGAGTTGCGGGGACGCTGGGGTTGCAGTTGGTCTGCTGTGAGGCCATTTGTCCTGGTAGAATTGTTAGATGACATGGGTACGGGAACAGGTAGATGGCCCTGGAGTCATCCCTAGCAGTCCCTGATCCAAGCTGTTGAGAATGTGGAGGCTTGGGAAAGTCATGAGCCCTTGTCCTCTGGAGCGCCTGGGTCTAGGCTTTGATTTTAGTGTGGGTTCTTATTTGGCATTTGCATTCTATTATTTGTGTGTGTGATGGTCCCTCTGTTTAAGTTTAGTAGTTTTAGGCCAGAGACTGGTTTTTGCATATTTGAAGCAGGAATTAATCTTATACTTCAGTTATAGTGAAGGTAATACATAATGCTCATTTATGAGTTTATGTTGTGGCATTTCTCTGCCATTCTGTGTTTTATTAATACTAAAGGTTGGAAAATCTATTTAACTTGGCAATTATCTGTGCTATTGGTATTAGATGATTAATTTTAGACAATTGCAAATTTCTTGGGTGGTTTTTTTATTGTCTTACGGTTTTTTATTATTTATTTTTTAGTTATAGGTGGACACAATATCTTTATTTTATTTTTATGTGGTGCTGAGGATCAAACCCAGTGCCTTATGCATGGTAGATGAGCGCTCTACCTCTGAGCCACAACTCCAGCCCTGTCTTACAGTTTTTATAGCGAGTTATTTAAGTTTAAAGTTGGTTAAATATATCTAGAAATGTTGGGTGTCTCATTTCTTCCAGATGGTCACTGTTAAGCATAGAGATTCCTCAACTCACAGTTCTAGGATAGGGAAACAGGTCACAAAATTCAGTTTTAAAAAAGCTATCACTGAATACCAGGGCTATAGCTCAGTGGTAAAGTGTTTGGCTCACATGCATGAGGCACTGGGTTCAATTCTCAGCACCACATAAAAATAAATAAAGATACTGTGTGTTTATCTACAACGAAAAAATATACATTTTATTTTAAAAAGCCATCACTGAAAACCCATGTTCCGCAAGTTCTGTATTAAAGGATTTGCCCAATTCTTGTTTTTTTTCCTATGTATTCTTTTCCCTATCATCCCAAACATGTTTTTAGTGTCTGAGAATTGACTTTTCTTAATGTGTTTTTGTAGTTGTGTATGGACAGCATGCCTTTATTTTATTTGTTGATTTTTTTATGCAGCGTTAGGGGTCAAACTCAGTGCCTCACACATGAGGGTAGGCAAGTGCTCAGCCCCAATTGACTTTCTTATGTACACATAGGATTGGAGAATTCAATCCAAACGTGTTGGTAGCTCTCTGGGCCCCTTCCCTTCCCTTGCTTCCCAGCACGCTAACCACTCTCCCACCCTCTCAAACTTACTTGCAGATGTGTTTAATTCCTTGGCGCACTGAAGATGTGCCTCTGCTTCGGGCAAAGAGGCCATGTGTCTGCAGTGGGAGAGAGGGCTTCCACAGCAGCCCGGCTGCTGCCGTGGACAGTGTGGAAGGGCTGTGCTCTCTCTCCCCTACCACTCCAGTTGCCTCAGAAGCCTCAGACCTTCTCCTTCCCACTCTGCCTTTCTTCCCTGTCTGTCCACCAGAACTCACAGCCAGACTTGTGGGGCTCTGGGTGTGACCAGGACAGCAGAAGGATTCTAGTGCTTCCTGCTTCCCTGGAAGGAAAAAGCTGCTAACTTTCAACCTCAGTTGTAACTAAGATGAAGCTCTAAACAACCCCAGTGTGAGTGGCTCCATAAAACAGCTCCTCTCCCTCCATGTGTGTTTGGGAAACAGCCCTTTTAATTCTTTGGTGTGGAGTGAGCATTCTAAAGCTAGAACCGTTATAGTACAAAATGGCCTAAGTGATTAAGATTCTAACTTTGTTAGTATTTTTTTGTTTGTAATGGGCATTAAAAATAGACCTTTAACTGTCCCCTGTTTATTCTCATCTCATTTTAAGATTGAAAATTCTGAGAAAAATGGATAAAAAAGGGTGCATTGATCCAGCTCCTGCTCCAGACCTTTGCTTAAGGTGCTCTTTCAGGCGGCATTTGTGATACTGCCAAGGTCATTGATGATAGACAGAGTTAAGCCCTCTTCTGAATGCTTGGTTCTTCATTGAGTAGATGTTGTTCATTAGAACTTAGGAAACGTCTTTCTACAGAGCGCAGCTTGGAGCACAGGGGCTCACCTTGCACCCTTTAAGCCACAGATGCAGGATAAGGCAGCAGGTGGTATACAGGTGGGGGGGACAGGCAGCCTGATCCAGTGGCCCAGCCCAGTTGGAACTGGTGGGCTCTCACCAGGCAGGGACTGTGTATGCCACTGGCAGAGTCAGCAAAGCACGAGGGTTGCAGGCCAATGGGATGAAGCATATTAAGGTGTTAGCTCCTGCTCCTCATCGCATGATTGCCATTGCTGGTAGGTATGGCATGATCTGTGTGGAGGAAGCACTGCAGGGGTGTGTCTCAGAACTTCTCCCCACTCAGCAGATCTCCAGGATCTCCTCACTAAGGGCACTGCTGGGGACGTGCAGAGGCCTTGCTGCCCTGTGGACTGATGCATCCCACCCGGGCTCCACCTAGTACTCTGGGACTTGCCCTTTGCCTCAACATGTTAACTCTTAGCACATTTTTTTTTGTTTGTTTAAAACTTGTTAAACATTCTATTTTATCTTATTCAAACTCAAATGTTTAAGGTTTATCATGGTTACTTTGTTCTCTGTAGGCGTAGTCATGGGGGTTATTGTGAATTTAGAGCTCCACCAAAATTGCCTTCAGCCATAGTTCTGGAGATAGCTCAACACCATAAAAGCATCTGTGGGAGTTCATGGGCAGTAGGAACTGGACCCCCAGCCATCCTATGCCCTCATGCATAAATGCCCCTGCTGTCAAGCACAGTCCCCCAGGGATCTTTACACTGTTGTTACAGGTTTGTAAAACCCACCTGACCTTTCTTACATGTTTTCTTTGGTGACTAGAAAGCAAAATGTAAGTAAATGATGTAAAATATTTGTTTGTATATCACACTCAGCAAATAGCATTCTAGGCAGTATTGCTGCCGTGTGTGTGTGTGTACATACAGGGGACAGGTTGTGTGTGGGTGTGGTCCTAAGAATTGAACCCAGGGTTTTGCACATGTTACATAAGCAGGTCATTTCTTTTAGTAAGTGATTTTCTTTGGATTGCACATTCTCTTCTCCAACTTCATTTTACTATTTTATCCCCAGATTTGTGGGTTTTTTCATTTATAAAGCAATATCTGCTCATTGTAAATGAACAAAACAGAAAAATTATGTAATCTCAAAAACATAGAAGAGGAGGCACAGAGTCCTCCCCATTCTCCCTCAGCTCCTGCTCTGCCTGCCCACAGGTAGCCAGATAATGGCTTGGAGAGGAAGAGGTGGGATTATGAAGTGTTCAGATCCTGTTGGGATTTTGTAGGACTCACAGGCAGGTAGGATGCGTAGAGTGTAGTCTAAAGGAGTGAGGAGGATGGCCTTTGGCTGCATAGCTGGAAGGATGAGTCCCACTGACTTGAGGAACTTCTGGTACAGGCCCAGGGTCTGCCTGAGCAGCTTGGATGGGCCACACGTCACATGGCCTTCACTGAGTGGCTCCATAAGCCATCGTCCTTTCCCCCACTTTTCACTTCTTGGAAGTTGTGCCACATCAGCACATGTTGGTTTGCCTCATTCTTTATAATGACCACATTTCATTGTTTAGATATAGCATGTCTTGTTTACCCAAGCTTCTACTAATCACATTTTAGTTATTTCTGTTTGTCATTATTTCTGACTGGTAGCTTCAGTTACCTGTGTGTATCCTTTTGCATACTTGTATGATATTTACAAAGTGTAAGTTCCTAATAGAATTATACCAGTTTATACTTTCAATAGTACTATACAAAATTTTGCAGGTAATGTGGCAATACTAGAACTTGAAGTATACATGGAGGTGACCGAGCATGTATAGATAGGTCAGAGCTTGAAGACTTGGCAGATGACCTAGGTTCTTACCTTTAAGTGAGAAAAACCTAATCCAAACTGATGTATACAAAAGGAGAACCTACTTACAGCAAGATTTTTTGTCTATTAGAGTAGTTGCCCCTCTGCACAAGGGGCGGATTGTAGAGGAGTGATGGAAACCCATCCCGCCCCTGGCTGGCTCGTTTTCCTTCATCTGCAGGGTGAGCAGCCTTTGCACCTTTGCTCCTGGGGCTGCTGCTTCACTGGCACATATAGGGTGTCCACGTTGCTGGCTCTCCTTTCCTTACTTGAAGGACTGAGCAGCACTCTGTTGGTTCTCTAAGTAGGCTATGCATACTTCTGATGTGTGTCTACGTGTTGTTTTGTTGTTGTTGTTTTAATTTATATATGACAGCAGAATGCAT